ACTGAGCACAGAGCCAGGAATAACTCCTGAGCATGCCAGGTGTGGCTCCAAAACTTTATTTTTTTTTTAAAGCACATTGAGTTAAAGTATCTCAGGCTGGAAAAGAATCTAAATCTCTACTGTCAACATGTCGTTTTTATGTTGTACTGTTTACTAGAAGAAATTTTGACTTGTCTACCATCCTTTAGCGCTTATAATTCCCCCCAGTAAGTCCTGTCACTGTCACTGTCCTCCCATTGTTCATAGATTTGCTTGAGCGGGCCCAGTAATGTCTCCATTGTGACAATTGTTACGTGTTTGGTATATCTAATACGTCACGGGTAGCTTGCCAGGCTCTCCAAGAGGGGCGGAAGAATCAAACTCGTCGGCCATGTTGGCTGCTTGCAAAGCAATCGCCCTACCCACTGTGCTATCGCTCCAGCCCAGTAAGTCCTATCTTAGTTAAATTAAAAGACTGAATTACACTAGAATTAAAGCTCATTCCTAGGGTCTGAAGGAGGCTGAAGTGATGCAATATATGCCTAATCCATATAAGGGCTTGAATTTGAATTTATCACCTAACGGCCTGTGGAGGCTACAGATACATACCAAACTGATGGGGCCTGCATATCTCAGTGTGAGAGTACTGCTGGGTGTGACTCATTTTTGAAACTCGATAAAATTATCACTAGAGTAATTACAAATAATGGCTAGGAGGTTCAAATACTTTTCATAATTATGCTACAGAGGGACAGGTAAGTGCCTGTTAAGTGAAGATAACTTTTAAATTGAATCACCTGAGGTAGTTACAAAGTTGTTCATGATTGAGTTTCAGTCATACAATATTCCAATACTCATTCTTTTTCCAGTACACATTTCCTGCCACCAATGTCTCCAATTTCCCTTCTGTCCCTGCAGCCTTCCTCTATGGCAGACCTCTCCCTCTTTCTCCCTTTCTCCCTCTCTCCCCCTACCTCCCTCTCTCCTTCTCCATCTTGCAGTAATTACTGAAAGGGTATCATGGATATCACTTTTCAGCACTCAGTTCTTGTGCAGAGCGATCGTTTTCCAACGATCATTGTGAATAGTGGGTGTTTTTGGTTTTTTGCTTTTTGGGTCACACAGCGATGCACAGAAGTTACTGCTGACTCATGCACGCAGGAATTACTTCTGGCCGTTCTCGGGGGACCATATGGGATGCTGGAAATTGAACCCGGGTTGGATGTGTGCAAGGCAAAAGCCCTACTCGCTGTGCTACTGCTCCAGCCCAATAGTGGTTTGTTTTCTGTACTCTTCTTCCCCTTGTGGCAAGCTTCTGCTGTCTTTGGGTGTACACATACTATGTTTTTAATCCTGCAAGCATTCTAAGCTTGTCCCTGTCTCTGACTCATTCAGCATGATTCTCTCCATGTCCATCCATGTATACACAAGTTTCATGACTTCATTTTTCCTAACAGCTGTGAAGTGTTTCATTGTGTAGATGTAGCAAAGTTTCTTAACTCATCTGTTCATGGGCACTTGGGTTGTTTCCAGATTCTGGTTATTGTGAACAGTGCTGCGGTGAACATAGTGCAGGTGGCTTTTTCTGCATGGTGTTTATGGGCCAGTAGGGTGGTATTACTGGGTCATATGGAAACTTAATTTCTAGTTTTTTGAGGTATGTCACATTACTTTCCAGAAAGATGGGGCCAATCAGCATTCCCACCAGCAGTTAATGAGTTCTCTACATCCACTCCAGTACTGGTTCTTTTTCATGTGTGCCAGTCTCTGGCTTGATATGGTTTCTTATTTTGATTTGCATCTCACCGATAAATAGTAATGTAGAGCACTTTTTTTGTTTTTCTTTTGGGGGGGCTCACACCCAGCGATACTCAGGGGTTACTCCTGGCTCTGCACTCAGGAATTATTTCTGGTGGTGCTTGGGGGAATCGTGGAATCCTGGGGATTGAACCTGGGTGGGCCACGTGCAAGGCAAATGCCCTACTCATGTACTATCGCTCCCAGCCCCTGTAGAACACTTTCATGTGCCTTTTGGCCATTTGTATTTCTTTGAGAAAGTTCCTGTTCATCTTTTCTCCCAGGAAGATCACTTTTTAGCATTTTATTTTGCAACTTTTCAGATATAAACACTGCAAAGACATTAAAGATAATACACTTCCCATATTCTCTGAATGTTAACATTGTATAGAACCACAGGACAACTGACAAAATCAGAAAATTTGATCAATTACAATGATGCTTGTGTCCAGGAATCAGAGATTTTTGTTTCAGGCTTCAGAGATGTGGGAAAGCACTTATCTTGCATGTCAGGCTCTGTGTTTTTTGAAAGAGCCAGAAAGAAGTGGGGAGAGAGGGGACGGCATAGTACTAATTTAAAAAAATTAGTAAGTTTTAACTTTTCAGTCTCATCTGGGATGCTTTAGTGTTTTAAAGTATAGGCTAATTATAAAAGATCTTTTAAGTCTTGCCATGTTTCTTCATGATTAGAAACCACAATGCCATCATCATCATCATCATCATAATAAGGCCCTCCCGTTGTTCATCGATTTGCTCGAGCGGGCCCAGTAACGTCTCCATTGGTGACTTTGTTGTTACTGTTTGGCATATCGAATATGTCACGGGGAGCTTGCCAGGCTCTGCCATTTTTTTTTTCATTTGGGGGACCCACCCGGTAGTGCTCAGAAGCTATTTCTAGCTCTGTTTAGAAGGTGACTCCTGGTGTGCTCAATGGGAACCATATGTCGCACCAGGGATTTGGAATCAGCTTCACACAAGCCAAGTGCCTTAAACAACTTATTTGTTCTAAGGGTATCATTAAACAGTATTAATTTATCTGTAGTAGTAATGTTAATTTTTTTTTCCACTTGGGATTTCCCACCATAAAAATCCTATTTCCAAGCAATACCACTTCTGAGAATATACCCTGGGGGCCCAAAACACACAGCACAAACATCATCTGCACTTCGATGTTCATTGCAGTATCATGAGTGAAATGAATTAGGAGAGGGATAGGAATAGAATGACAGCATTCATTTGTGGGATATAATAGTATTAGACTAATATTCAAGGTAAGGTGGTAAGGCCCAAAAGGAAAGAGACAGAGAGAAAAGTGTCTGCCATAGTGGGTGGGGGTGGGGGGGGTGGAAGGGAAACTGACCATTGGTGGAAAAAGTACACTGGTCAAAGGATGGGTGTTGGAACATTATGACTTAAATCCAATCATGAACAACTTTGTGAATGAGCAATAGCACAGCGGTAGGGCATTTGCCTTACAAGCGGCCAACATGACCCACCCGAGTTCGATTCCTCCGCCCCTCTCGGAGAGCCCGGCAAGCTACCGAGAGTATCTTGCCCACACGACAGAGCCTGGCAAGCTACCCGTGACGTATTCGATATGCCAAACACAGTAACAAGTCTCATGATGGAGACGTTACTGGGCCCGCTCGAGCAAATTGATGAACAATGGGAGGACCGTGACCGTGATCACTATGATTAAAAAGGAATGGGGAAATCCTGTTCCTTGGGCCAGAAAGATGGCACAGTGCATAGGGCACTTGCCTTGTGCCTTGCATGTGGCAAACCAAGGTACAATCCCTGACACCCAGTATGGTTCCCTTAACATTGACAGGAGTAAGCTCTGAGCACTGCCAGGTGTGTTCCAAAACCAAAAACTTGTTTCTCATCGTGCTTTTGTCCACTATAATTGTGCATGGCCTTTTCCTGAAACAATTGGTGTAGTAATTTGACAAATATTTTTACCTCATTCTTCTAGAAAAATTGTGGTTGAGGTAACATGGGTATAGTAGTGTTTACATTTGTTTTTGTTTGTTTGGTTTTTTTTTTTGGTCACACCCACCAAAACTCAGGCCTTACTCCTGGCTCTGCATTCAGGAATTATTCCTGGCAGAGCTTGGTGGACCTTATGGGATGTAGAGGATTGAACTCTGGTCAGTGCTTGCAAGGCAAACACCCTACCGAATGTGCAACCACTCCAGACCCTACATTTGTATTTGTGTACAAGTTACTCCTCTTTTTTTTTCCCCCCCTCCAGAAGTTTCTCTCATCCATTCTTTTCCCCAATAGTAGTACCAGAGTGGCGCGTTCAGGGGCCCAGGAAAAGGCCCAAGTGAACTGTTCAGCCTGTAGAATTGGCCTTGGGGTTGTATGGTGCCATGGCCAGGGGCCCTGTAGTGCTTGGCAAGTCAAGCACTGCCAAGAAACTCAGCCACGTATGCTATGCTTTGCTCTACACATGCACCATATCCCCTACTCCAAAGATTTCGGGGAGGGCATACCTGACCATGCTCATGGTTTCTAGCTCTGCTCAGTGGTCACTTCTGACAGTGCTCCAGGGACAATAAGTGGTGCTAGGAATCGAATCATGGTTGGCTATGTGCAAAGCAAATACCTTAACCCCAGTATTTTTTTCTCTGGTCCCAGAATTTAGTGGCTGGGATGGGGGTTCCCACAAGGCACTATTCATGTTTGTGTGCTCATGAGGAACAGCTGGAGGTGTTCAGAGAACTATATGGGATGCCAGAGATCTGACCAAAGATTTTTACTTTGTTCATACCTGGCAGTACTCAGATCTTAGTCCTCACTCTGTGCTCAGGGATCATTCCTGGTGGGCTCAGAGGGACCAAATGAGATGCTGGGGATTAAACCAGGGTCGGACATGTGCACTGCAAATGCCCTACCCACTGTTCTAACTCTGGCCCCTCAAAGATTATTTTTTAATGTATTCAATTCCTCCTTTAAAATATCAAGTAACAATTTATGAATTTAAAGTAATGGATTCCATGGGACGTCATAAGAATGCCTGGCCGCCCACCTACGAGATTGTCCGAGCTCTTGGTCAAGACCCTGAACGAACGGTTTGAGGCTCTTCGTGTTCCTGGAGCAAGCCATTGGGCTACACCAGCACACGACAGGGACGAATGGAGACATTACTGGTGCCCACTAGAGCAAATCAATGAGCAACTGGGCGACAGGTGATACAAGTGAAAGTAATGGCAGCTCAATGGCATTTAAACAAGATTCAACATGTTTTATTTACATATTTATGACATACATTTATGGTCTTAAACAACTAAATCTAACAATGGAGAGAATGGAACATAAAAGACACAATTTCATTTTTAATCAGGTTAAAGTATTTTCTCTATAAACAAGCAGCCGATTATAAAGTTAGACTGTCAACACGCTTGAAACAGAAAATCAGTCAGAGTTACTGAAACAATAGGAAATTTGCAAATTCAAAATTACATATGCAGGTATAGTGCATGCAAGGTGTCAGATTTATTCTTTCTCTTTTAAGCCATTTTTAAACTAAATTGGAAGAATTATCTTAATATATATACATCAAGGCACATTCTTTTCTTGTGCTTTAGGAATGATTTACATGTGAATTGCTAATATCTCAATTTTACACATTATAATAGCTTCTAATACTTGAAAGCCTAATTTTAACAATTATAGCTTGAGTGGTAGTTTCCCAGAGGAGAGAAATGTAGCAGCCCCCCAAAAGTTATTCTAAAAACCAGAAAATTGCATAACTTAAAGAGGTGGGCATTTAAAAATTAAATGCAAATAATGTAGAGTTTCAACAATTTGGTGGACCATAATCAATTTATTTTAGTATTTATAATGAGGGCTGTATTGAAGATTTTTTAATTCTGAAATTATTTGACAATTACATAGTATCTACAGGACCACTGTAGATGTCTATATTGCTATTTCTATTTCTAAATTGCAGTTTTTCAACAAAATCAAGCAGACATGATACAAAAGCTGCAAACATACCAAACCTAGTTTTAACTTACTCATTCTTTAGAATAAACTTTTTTTCCCTTTCATTTATTGTCCTACATTATCAAGGAGAAATTTCCCATCAACAATGTTTAATTACAACATTCTTTGCTCATGGTCAATTTACTTGCCTTGAAGAGATAGTATAATAAGGCTTTTGTAGGCATTTCATGCACTAACAGCATTTTAAAATTATTTATTTAAGGGTTCCCCATATGGGTAAGTACACTGTGCAAACTTGATCACAATATGTAACGCATTAAGTGCTTTAAAATAGAAAAATTCTTGACTTTATGGAATTAAGGAATTCAACAATCAAGAATCACAGACTTGAAGCATTTAAAAAAATGTAATATCCCTATGCATCCTACTAAAATGCTTTATATTAGAATTTTCTTTGTAGTCCATAAACAGGGAAAGTCACAGAACCTGTATATTTTGAGAATAAAAGAGTGGATTACTTTTAAACTCAAAATATATGTGAAAATGTAAATGAAACTAGTTTTTAATACAGTCCTTTATAAACATTAATTCATTAAAAAGTATACCATGATAATCTACTGCCATCATATAGATTTGTTTCAATTTTTTTTACACAAATAAACTTTTCTACAGCAGCCATGAGCCAAGCTGGAAATACTTCAACATCACCAAATAGCCCAGAGCCTTGCCATACACACCGAAGCAGATAGTCACACAGTATTGTAAACAAGTATTGTGATTTCAGTACATATCAGATGTCATTTTCCCCTCCATTACTATTTTCATTCCGCTTCTGAAATATGTGCCACCTCTACTTCAACAGTTTGAATAGCCTCTGCAACTTCAGAGAGCTTCTGTCCTTGCTGTTGTGCCAACACGTAATTCACCACTTGCATAATACTTTGGTCAGAAAGTGTAGACACTAACGGACACTCTTCAGTAGCTGCAACAGCTTCAAGAGCTTCCATAGTTTCTCCAGTCACTACGACAGTCTCAATTTCTTGAGGACCACTGTGTTCTTGTTCCTGCATGTCTGCCGTTAAGATACTGACAGCATGTTCCACTTGAGTTCCTTGGTCGTGAAACTGAAGAGTATCTTTTTGCAGCATAATTTTGCAAGGCACATAATCTCTGTGGAACTTCGTCATATGTTTACGGAGTGTTCGAGCATCTATGTAGGCCTCGCTACATACTGGACAAACGTAGGGCCGTTCACCGGTGTGTGTCCTGACGTGGCGTTTTAGAGATCGGGCATCTGCCCAAGCTACTCCACACGTTAAGCATTCAAATGGCTTAACTCCTATTGACCAAAATAAATAAATTAATAAATAATAAGTAAAGAAAGGAAGCTTCAGATTTATTTATAGTAGCCAATAAGCCAAGCTTGTTTGTGAAAACCCAGGATTTTCCAAGGGTGGTCACAGGGGAGAGAAGGGAGAGAACAACTGATCTCATAGGAAGGAAACAAGGTCAGAAGTGGGCCACAATCAAAGAGCTGAGAAACAACTGAGCCAGGATTTAATGGTTTGCGTCAGGAAGCAGGTTATTTCACTGAAAGCTCTGAAGACGTTCCCATGGACAGACGTTACTGAGATTAGGGGCCGGTCAGAAGTGGGCCACAATCAAAGAGTTGAGAAATAACTGAGCCAGGATTTAATGGTTTGCGTCTGGAAGCAGGTCCTTTCACTGAAAGCTCTGAAGACATTCCCAAGGACAGTCTCCATGAGACTGAGGGCCAGAACAGTAACAGAGGGGTAAAACAATTGCCTTGCACACAACCAACCTGGTTTCAATCCCTGGCACCCCAGATGGTTCCCCAAGCACCACCAGGAGTAATTCTCGAGTCAGAACCCATGATCATCACTCACCAAGTGTCACTCCTACCCCTCTCTCCCCCCAAAAAAAGTTACTGAGACAAATCTGAGTTTCTGGGTAGTCTTAGTTGACCTTCATAGCAACCCCTGGGTACAAAAATAACGGGACAGAGGTCCCATCAGGCCCGCTCAGCATATAAATATTGCAACAAAGGTTTGGAATACAGAATACATGCCTTGCAAAGTATGGACAAAGGTTTGATCTTGATTCTGGGTACCAAAAGGAAAACAGCTCACTGAAAGGCAATCAAGCTCTTCATTGCCAGTTCTGATTTCCTAGCAGGACTCCTAGAGGGACTCATAACTTTTAAAAGGTTTTAACACCAGGAGTAAATCCTGAGTACAGATCCACTAGTGACCCCTGAAAATAGCCATGTGTGGTAAAACAAAAGCAAAAACACCCAAACCAAAAAATAAAGGTTTTAAAATACATTTTATCTGTGTATTGTCTATTTTATGTACCAAAAATCTTGTAAAAATTTCTCAGGTGTGTGGAGTTCAAGCCCAATTCAATCAGCCTAATCAGTGGCTGAATAAATAGCAGTACTCCTACATTAATAAAAAGGAAAAAAAATTTCTCAGGTGAAAAAGGTTCAAGAGTGGAATAGATTTAAGAAGCCGTATCTAGGCAAGGGAGCTGGTAAAGAGAATTTCTTGGACTGGAGAGGTAATGGAGCAGGTAAGGTGTTTGCCTAATCTGGGTTTGAGCTCCAGTGCTCCATATGGTCCCTGAGCCCCACCAAGAGAGATCCCTGAGCACTGAACCAGGAGTAAGCTCTGAGTACCACTGTGTGTGGTCCCAAAACAAAAACAGGAAAGAAAAATCACCAAAAAACTGCCTTTTACTTTATATATGCTCAGTATTTTTTGTGTTGGGGCTATCTATAGTGGTGCTCTGGGATTTCTCCCAGCAGAGCTCAGAGGATCTTGCATTGCTGGGAAGCAAACCTGGGCCCCCAGAATATACAGCATGTGTCCAGTCCCTTGAGCTACTGCCCCAGCGATGTACATCTATACAGTATCAAGTGTAATACCTCCATGGTTGTTCATGTGTCTCCTATACTCTCTCAACTGTGTGAATTTTCTTCCACATTGTTCACATATCCGTTCCAGGTTTTGCTTTGCTCTTCCCTTTTTTCCATGGGTAGCTTTTTTCACATGTCTTCTGAACAACGCTTTTTCATAAAATTCTTTGCCACATATATTACACCTACAAAAGAATGGAAAAAGAATTATTTTCCAAAGTACTAGCATCCATAACAAATCCATTTAAGAAGCTGAAGGAAAAATAAAAAAGTAATCCAAGTACAGGGGCTGGAGCAATAGTACAGCGGGTAGGGCGTTTTCCTTGCATGCGGCTGACCCGGGTTCGATTCCCAGCATCCCATATGGTCCCCCGAGCACTGCCAGGAGTGATTCCTGAGTGTAATGCCAAAAGTAACCCCTGAGCATCGCCGGGTGTGACCCAAAAAGGAAAAAAAAAGCAATTAAAGTACAGACAGACAATTCAGTCCTCCTCAAATTTACTTACCTGTAAGGTTCAGTGACAGAATGAGATTTCACATGGGAATACCAATCTTTCTTCCAGCTATAGCATTTATCACAAAACTGACATTGGAACGGCTTTACACCAAGATGTTTATTCATGTGCTGGCGAAGATCTCTAGCTTCAAAGAAACTTTTTTCACATCTGCAATAATAAACCATGTAACTGTTAAACGTATTCTTTTAAAAACAAATTTTCAATGACTTGGCATATTCTTAAATTTCTAAAACTCCACTAGATTATGCCCCTAATTTGAGACACCAATACTGGCTTTGTAAATATCAGGTGGTGCTCAGGACTTACTCCTGGCTCATAACTCCTGCAGGGCTTGAGGGGATAATATTGGGAGCCAGGGATTGAACCCAGGTCAGCCACATGCAAGGCAAGCGCCCTACCCATTGTAATATAGCCCCTCTTTAATTATTTTAGCTCTAGAATAGCTCTAGAACAATAAACATTTTAAACAGCCATCCAGAGCTCCCAGAGGTGAGTCAGGAACAGTTCAAAGGCCTGGAGTACATGGCTGGCAAAAGAAACCTTGGGTTCAATTCTTTGGTATCACATGGTCCCCAAGCACTACTGGAGTGGTCCTGTTTATCCTCAGTACTGCTGGGCCTGAACAGCACTGGGTTATGTTATCACTGAGAGCTGTTCTTAGGACCCTTGAGACAACCCCATCTAAAAAAAGGCACATCTTAAAATGACTTTCTATGGCTTTCTATTAAAGGTATGTATAAATGTGGCTTATAGGCTTTAAAAAGTTAAAACAAACAAATAACAAAAACCAAAAAAAAACCAAACAAAAAACAAAGAACAAAAAACAAACAGAAAGGTTAAATAAAACACCAACTAGTAGCAAACAGTTCCCTCCACCAAAAGACACTGATTATAATCAAGAGTAAGCGAATAACAGTTTAAAATTTCCACGGGTGAGGGGGTGAAGGTGGGCACATGGACTCCAAGCAGTGCTCCGGAAGCCCAGGTCATGCCCAGTGATACTGAGCCCCGTTGTCTGGGCCCATGAATGAGTGCTCAAGCCCAGCAATGACAACGTGGTGTCGAGGAGGTGGAGGCTGTGCTGTGCAGGGTAAACCCATGGTCTTTGTGTTCAAAGAGTACATTGTCTCCCCAGCCAAATTTCACCTCACCTCATATATATAATCTGATATGTAATATTAACATTTATGTGGAAACATTATATATGCACATAAACATTTCACTTGTAAATTCATTTTTACTTGCGTATTTCAATTCTGCATTACAGAGATGAACTAGTCACCTCAATGTTTTTTCAGGTTCTGGATTTAACCTCGGGCTACACACATGGGAAGTATGTGCTCTACCAACTAAGTTATTCACCCCCTCAAACAGTATCTTTTAAAAATAATTATTTTGTTTGTTTGTTTTGTTTGTGGGTCACACCCAGTGATGCTCAGAGCTCACTCCTGGCCCTGCGCTTAGTAGTTAATCCTGATGTTACTTGGGAGAACCATTTGGGACACCAGAGACTAAATCCAGGTTGGCCACATTCAAGATAAGCACCCTCCTCACTATACTATTGCTTCTGTCCTGAAAATAACTTTTGAATAAATCAAGAACATAAAAATAAATGATTGAATGGGTCACATACTAAATACTTACTGAGTACAGTGATAACCTCGAACCTCAGGCTTTGGTTGATGTTTTTTCAGGTGCTTGCTCAGTCCAGAGCCCCTGTGAAAAGACTTTCCGCAAACTGAGCAAAGGTACTTTGACTCACCTATAAAAGATAAAAATCATGTCATAAATCCAGCAATCATGTATTCTTCCAACAGAATGTTTCTATGTCTTATTTCAGAAGTTATTTTCTAAAGGAATCATGGAAGCTGTACCATTTGCCAGCTACCTTCTAACAACAAACTGTTAAAAATCCCCTTTTCTGGGGACAGGGAGAGCACATGGATTAAGGCACTTGCCTTATATGCAGATGGTCCAGCTCAGTCCCTGGCACCACATAATCCCCATCACTACAGGGTCCACGAAGGTGCAGCCCAAGCTCCCCTCCCCTCAAAAACAAAAACAAAAAAAAACTTACAATAAAATGAATTCAAATCACAATTTCCATACTAGAGTACTGGCAAGATTACTACCCAGAGAATTTGTCATGCTTAAGCAATTATCTGAATTATAACAATATACAGTTGAAAACAAACTGCAAAGACAACTCTTCACTAAGTCCATATGACTGCTTTAAATATATGAAAATAATTATTTGTAAGCTAAAATTCCCAACAAAATTTTAAGGCACAAACACATGACCATTTCTTTAGGTAACTTAATCTAAATGATGTGTAATGCTGGGGATACTGGGGTAGAACACAAACCTTATATGTGTGAAGTCATGGGTATGAGCCCTAGGAACATATTAATAAAAATAAATTGTGCATGACGCTTATTCATTTTTCTACATGAGAGAAACAGTATTTCTGTGGTTTTGGGAAATGCTGTGGAACCATGCAGTAACAAGGACACTCAGATTAGGTCCACTCCTTGGAAGGCATGTGCTCCAGACCTTCGAGCTCGCTCGCCAGCCCTTTTTTTAAAAATACAAGTTAGCCGGTTGTGAGGGCCGAGGACACAGCTGACAGGCTGGCATGCATGCTTTCCTTAGGAGGCCCGAGTTCAGTCACCACATGCTCTTCCAGCATCACCAAGAGCAAGTCCCAAGCATGGAATCAGGCGTACGCCCTGCTCACTGACAGGCATGTCCCCCAAGCCAAAACTAAATTTAAAAAAAGACTAGTTTTAAGGCAAGCCCTTTTGGTTTTTTGTTTGTTTTGGAGACACACCTATCTGTATGTACTCAGGGCTAACTTCTGGCTTTGTGCTCAAGAAACACTTTTTTTTATTTTTTATTTTTATTTTGGCGGGGAGGAGGTCACACCTGGCGATGCTCAGGAGTTACTTCTGGCTCTGCACTCAGGAATTACTCCTGGTAGTGCACTGGTGGTCATATGGAATGGCGGGGATCGAACCCAGGTTGGCCGCGAGCAAGGCAAATGCTCTACCCACTGTGCTATCACTCCAGGAATCATTTCTGGTAGGCTTGGGGACCACATGGGGTGCTGGGGACCAAATGTGGGTTGTCCCATGCAAGACAAGTGCCATATTCATGGTACTATCTCTCCAATCCTTTAAGAAAAGCTTTAAGTTTACTCTTAATTTAAAATCTGTACATGCAGTCATCTCTGTATCACTATGGTTCTAAAAAATGATAGCTCCGTCCATTTTGAGGCAAAAGGAATTAAAAGGACCACCACGAAAGGAACTCTCAACACTACTTGTCAAAATAATCTCAAAACCAGGACATGGGAAAATCAGCCACAGTAGCCACACTGACAGGTTCTTGTTCCCAGACCCAAGTCCAGATGCGAGAGGCAGTCTGAACACATAAAGTAATAACCCAGAGGGGACAAAAAGACTCTTCCCATTTTCACTGGTTCCCAGGAGCCACTTTACAATTGTGACCTCAGAAGAAAATGGCCAACAAAGGGGAGGAAAGTGCATGTCGGCAATACTTCTCATAACGTTGGTCCAGCATATTTGACTATAAAGAATGCCTAGGCTCTTGGGCCAGAGCAGAGGTACAGCAGGTAGGGCTCTTGCCTTGCACACAGCTGAGCCAGGATCGATCCCTGGCATCCCCTACGTCCCCCAATCCCGTCAGGAGTACTCCCTGAGCACAGAGCCAGAAGTAAGCCCTGAGCCTCCCTGGGTGTCGCCCAAAACCAAAATCAACTATGAAAAAAGAAGCCTAGGTTTCATCTCTTGGGGCAGTGTGACAAACTTTGTCCTGCCTTCTCACCTTATTTCTCTCTACTGTGTGTTCTCCTAATAAACTCTTTTTGCCTAAAGAACTCCTGATGCATTCATTCTTTCACAAACTCATGTTTCTGGTAGCCAAAAACCCCCAAAAGCAAAAGCCATATTAATAGACAGTCATATAATACATGGCTGTCTATATTAGTTTATTATTACCTGTGTGAATACTCATATGTTCTTGAAGACTCCTTTTGGTAACAAATGATTTATCACAGAGTTCACACTGAAACTGCTTTTGAGACTGATGAAGACTCTGGTGTAATTTTAGACCATGTTTGTAGATGAATGTCTTTCCACAGACCTAAAACAACACAAATATTTTATTTTTCACCAAACCAGGAGGTGCTCGGGACTTACTCCTAGCTCTGAGCTCAAGGATTTCTCCTGGCAGTACTCAGGAGACCACATAGGCTGCCAAGGATTGTACCTGGGCTGCCCTTAGGCAAGTAAGTGCCTCGCTTGCTGTACTATCTCTCAAGCCCTTACACAGCACCAGCATTTAAAGCAGTGAAATAAAGGGAGGACAGAGAAATTAGTATGCTATTTCAGATTTTAAAATCTGTAAAGTGACAGTAAATACTGAAACAAGTATCATCAAATTAATTAGCTGATAATCTGATTCAAAACTTGCAATCAATTATTTTTCTAACAATCATGTGATCATTGGAGAAACAGTATCCCAAAACCCTGCTATCCATGTGAGATTAATAAAATAGACATGTAACAGAGAGTTTTACAAAGTATCAGAGCAATATTACATTGCCTTGACAATTTCTAAACACTTTTTTCCTTTTTTCTCCCTTATTGTCTATGGATCACACATTTTGAGTGGTGCTATAATAGGCAAGATACCCAAGTAAGTAAATAAATAATTTGTAAGTAACATGTTCAGGGAATCATCTAAATCCCAGCTCTAAGAACATAATCTCTCTTTTTGGTCTTTCTTGTCTCCATATTCATTCTCTCTCTCTCTCTCTCTCTCTCTCTCTCTCTCTCTCTAAGAATTGTGTATCAATTCCTATTGCCACTGACGGTTCCCTAAGTTCCTACAGGAGTGCTTCCTGAGCACAAAATCAGGAGCAAGTACTGAGCACAGCCAAATGTGGCCCCCCCCAAATGAACAAAACAACAAAAAACTCAAAACAGAATCAGTTGAAGAGTTCATTGTACACATTTATATTTTACTGATTATTATAAAAAGTTAAATACCCCAAAGCTCATTAATCAGTGGATGTTTTATGCAGAAATCATAGCTGAAATAATCTCAGTCTGCAGTTCTTGAAAAAGACACAAAGCTTGGGCAGGATTTCTGTTAAGGAGATCTGTTTAATACAGATCCTTTCCAGTTCAGACTGGTCCTGCTGAAGGTTAAAGGATAACAGGGAGGAGTAAGTAGCTGCTTATTCTCACCAGTTATCTTGTGAATACCCAACATTCCATTTCAAATTATAACTTTAGATAGCATATGACACAACTTCTGAATGACCCTTGACCTAGGCAAAAGACCTGAAGGCATATATAGTTCTCTGTATATTTTACAAAAGTGAAGCAGAACCAATCTTATCATCAGTTAAATTCCAATATTCTTTTCCCTCCCCCTGCTTTTTGGGTGACACCTGGTGATGCACAGGGGTTACTCCTGGCTCATGTTCTCAGGAAGTACGCCTGGCAGTGTTCAGGGAGACCATGTGGGATGCTGGGAATCAAACCCGGGTCAGCCACATGCAAGGCAAATGCCCTACTCACCGTGCTATTGCTCCAGCCCCCAAATTCCAATATTTAACTATAAAGTAAATACATGGAGCCAGAGTGACAGGACAGCAGGTAGAGCACTTGCCGATCCAGGTTTGATACCCCATATGGTTTCCCAAGCCCACCAGGAGTGATTCCTGAGTACAGAATCATCCTGAAAACTGGGTGTGCCCCCCCAAACAAAAAATGAAAACAACAACCACCAAAAGTAAATGTAAGGCTTTACCTGGCATGCATGTGGCTTCACACCCGTGTGCTTTAACATATGTATGCGAAGAGAATATAATTTAGGTAACGTTCTTCCACAGATGGAACATATAAATTCTCGTTTTGTTCTGCCCTTCTCAGATGATGTTCCTGATGCTTCATTAGATGTGGAATTAGAAGAGGATGAAGTTGATGCATCTTTTTTGGTATGTCGAATGAGGTGAGCTCGCAAGGAGGCACTGTATTGAAACTGCTTTTTACACAACTATAATAAAAAATATGAAAGCTCTGACTAAATAAACATTTACATTACAAATATAACATTGCCAATGTGAAACTGAACTTCACATTATTGAAACTCATTTAAACTCATATTCCAAATGTCCATTTCTTGTAATTTTTATACAAACCTTCATACTCTTTACACAAGCCACTAAATCTACATATGACATAAAACAGAGGGTTTTTTTAAAAAAAAAAACCACTGCTCTGTGAACCAGCGAGGATTTACATATATAAAAGGGTTGAAAACCAAAATAATAATAATAATAATAATAATAATAATAATAAATAATAATAAATTTTTAAAAAATGGTTGAAAACCACTGAGCAGATATGCTGGTCCCCAGATTTAAAATGCATATGCTAGGGGCTGGAGTGATAGCACAATGGGTAGGGCATTTGCCATGCACGCGGCCAAGCTGGGTTCGATTTCCAGCAGCCCATATGGTCCCCTGAGCACTGCCAGGAGTGATTCCTGAGTGCAAAAGCCAGGAGTAACCCTTATGCATCGTCGGGTGTGACCCAAAAAGCCAATAAATAAATAAATAAAATGCATATGCTAGGCGCTGGAGTGACAGTACAGCAGGTAGGGCATTTGCCTTGCATGCAGCCAAGCTGGGTTCGATTCCCAGAATCCCATGTGGTCCCCCAGCACCGCCAGGAGTAATTCCTGAATGCATGAGCCAAGAGTAACCCCTGAGCGTCACTGGGTATGACCCAAAAAGCAAAAAAAAAAAAAAGCATATGCTAGGTACCACATCAGAGATGAAAGGAATGGCCCAAAGGGAAGGATAACAATCTAACCAGAGGGAGAGGGCTTGTATGATTGGAAAAAAAAATTTTTTTTACATTTTTAAGCTATATGAGTATTCTCTTTGAACTTTGAACTTTGTTAAGTAGCATGAATGGAAAATGACTCTTAACTCCTTTACTTTCTAAGATTCCTATTATTCTACTTTCTCAATATACATTGAATCATAATTTTGATGAGAATAAAATCATTTTGCAGAGCCTGGCAAGCTACCCGTAACGTATTCGATATGCCAAACAGAGTAACCTATTTTTGCCACATAACACATGACATGCCCAAGATCATGTAATGATACTATTAGGTATTGGAATATGAAAATTTAGGGGCTGGAGAGTAGGATAGTGGGTAGCACATTTACCTTGCACACAGCAGTCCCTGGCAACCCATAAAGTACACTGAGCAACTCTAGGAGTAATTCCTAAGAGCTGAACCAGAATCAACCTCAAGCATCCCTGAATGTGGTCCAGAAACAATAGAACAAAAAAAGTTTATTAAAAACCCTATTTTTTATTTTCACCTTAGCATTAGCAAGTCATGAATTATTTCTCCTGTTTCCACAGGTCCTCAGGTTTAAAAGGCTGAAAACTACTGGTTTTATAACTAAATGTTTTTCCCGAGTTCTGTGGGCCATTTATTTGGCCACAAATAAATCAAATCTGAGAAGGGTTGTTCAGGAAATAATCTTATTTAGTCAGCCAAAGCACAATCATTTAGATTTCCCATGGACACTTAAAGTCTGAGGAGGGGGCTGGAATGACAGCACAGCAGGTAGGGCATTTGCCTTGCAAGCGGCTGACCCAGGTTCAATTCCCAGCAACCCGTATGGTCCCCCAAGCACCGCCAGGAATAATTCCTGAGTGTAGAACCAGGAGTAACCCCTGTGGGTCGCCGGGTGTGACCCAAAAAGATAAATAAATAAATTAATTAAATTAGATAAAGTCTGAGGAGGATGTCATTGGGACCTTTGGTTTATAGCCAGTTTGTCGAAAGCATGAATGGGTACTACTTTGGAGTATTCAACTGATGTATGAAGCTGAGGGTGGTTTTGGGAGACTAAGTCCTTCATTTGTGTAGTCTTGACAATGACAGAAAATGCCAGGAAATTTTAGCATCTTGCTGATGCTTGAGAATTGCCTGGCCTGAGAAAGTCTTCATATGCTTATTGGAGTGGCTTCCCCAATCTCACCAATGCCAACTCTTACAGAACTGGACCCGTTTCCCTTTTCCCACGTCTCATTTATTTTGGTGTAACACCACTGCCAACAGCCTCCTAAGAGAGAGAGTTTGGTAAAACTTTTGAAACCTTATAGATCAGAAAATGGTCTCATTCTACCATCACAAGTAACTGGTAAGTTTAACTGGTTACAGATACCAAGTTGAAAACAACATAAAATATTTGAAGACATTAGGGCTGTTACAATTTTAAGATAACAATGAAACGTGAAATTGGGCCCTGTCTTGAAATTAGAGCCATCTTCGATTAGCTTTCTTTCTAGATACCTACCGGACATTTGTAATCTCTCGTTCTTTCATGTTTCAGTGTGTGTGTTATAAGGGCATACCGTCTCTGAAAAACCATTCCACATTCTCCGCATTTATGGGACAATTCTTCAGAATTCTCTTTAGCATCTCTTTTGGGCTGTTTCATTTTTTTCCCTCTTTGAACTAATTTCTGAGCCACCTAAATAAAGAATGAGAAACACAATCCAAATATTTGTTTTGATTTTTAAAGTTATGAATCATGTTATAAAAAGTTCAAACTTACATCACCTTATCAATATTGTCGGTTATTTTTGGATCTATCCCCCCAACCCTTCCTCAGTTCCCAGTGCTGGGAATCGAACACAGGTATCACACATCTCAGGCATGACCTATTTACTCATCTTTTGAGTTTTGTTTCTGTCACGCTTCGCAATGCTGGTCACTGAACCAAGGTCAACCACATGTAAGGCAAGCACCTTAATCCCTGTACTATCTCTCTGGCCCTGGAATGAGCTATTTAAAGCATTAAGTTCTTTTCTACAACCACCCTCTACCACCACCACCATTAATACCACCCCGAAGAGAATTCACATTGAGCATGTGTTTTTTCTTAGGTTTGTTTTTTTTGTAGGGAATATGTTGGCAGTTACAGGAATATAACACAGGGCATCACACATGCAAGGCAAGCACTCTACCACTGAGCTATATCCCCTGCCTAAGAATATTTTTAAAGGCAATGCTTTGAACTTTACAGCTAAATCCACAAGAGTCAGTTCCTCACCATACCTGTTGAACTGCTGACTTGGGAATGGCTTTCCGCTTCTGTAATTTTTTCTCCATTCCTTTGTGTAGTCTGATATATCCCCCTTCATTAACAGAACGCTGCCGAAGCCTGCTCTTATAAGTATCATCCTCAGGGCCCGGCTCTGTTTTCACTGTTGGTACCAGACTGTCCTCATCTTTCGAAGGCTGTTGCTCAGTATCCTGCATGTGCTCTGTAATATCTTCAGCTGGTGCATCAACTCCCATTTCTCCATCTTCTAGAGAGCTTTTGATGACATTCTCTTTTGAAAGCTCAGGATTAATATTAGTGATCGTGCCATCTTCTCTACTATATGAGGTTTCCAGTTGTTCCTGGTTACTTTTTGTTACCACATCAATGGATTCTATTACAGGAGGGGACTCAGTTATACAGCCTACAGATGACAGAGCAGCTTCAGCCTCTGAAGAAACCTGGGGCTCAGGCTGTTGTACTAGTTCTCCATTTTGCTCAGCCTCAGGCAATTCTCCATTTACCAGTAATACAATTTCACAACCCCCAAGTTCTGTAGATAAAGTTGCCGTGGTTCCCTCAGCACTAGTCACAGAAGGCGCTGGACCCTCATTCTGTTCTGGCAAGTCTTGGGTAGATGCAACTGTCTGTACTTCACCCTTCTTATATACTGTTAGCTGTTTCTCTTCCATTAGTTTGTGTACACTTTCACAGATTTCTAAAACTTCTGACATGAAAAGATGGCGAGCCAAGATAGCTACATCGGCCATGCTACAGAAGTCAAAACTTAGCACAGAAGTATAGGCAAACTCCAGCAAAGGAAGGAAACTTGCCTTACAAAAACCTGTACGGAACAAGATAGGAACAAGAGAAGTCAACTGCTAATTAAAACAACTTATAAGGACAATACATGATTCTGACAATATGCAACATGATATTATGACTAATATGTCCATTTAATCTATGCATTGAAACTCTAGGTTTCTGTTGTGTTCTGCTTGCCTCTTAAACCTTGATCAGCTCATTTCTATGAGCTGAGCCTCTCAAAGCCTAAAACGGAAAATTACTTCAGATCACAGAATTATAAGGAGCAAAGAGATAGTACAGCAGGCAGAGCATTTGTTTTGCATGACAGATTTGATCCCTGTCTCCACTGATGGTCCCCAGAGCCCACCAGAAGGATCTGGAGCCCAGAACCAAGAATAGGTAGCACCAGGTGTGTCCACAAAACAAAAACAAACACATTAACAAAAAGAGCTGTTGGAGGCAGTCATTTCCAAACTATACCTCTTAAGAACCACGGGGCTTCCTCAAATTGCCCTCAAGAAACAGCTGCTGGAGAGCAGAGGGAGACAGACAGGGTTGCAGGGTTTGTAGGGTTCTGCCAACCTGTTCCCAAATCTCACTCAGTAAATAGCTATTCTACCTTTTTTATTTCCTGTGGATTAGGGTCACACCCACTAAGTGCTCAGGGGTTCCTTGCTGTGGTGCTCTATGGAACATGAGGTGCTGGGAACCAAACCTGGGTTTATATACTGCAAGCACTTCAGCTGCAATCTCCCTGGTTCCTAGCACTCTCTACTTAATGACATGCCTATACACAAGTTTTACTGTGAAGACTTCTGACTAAAATTTTAGAAGGAACGTAGAGGGGGGGTGGGGGGGCGGGGCAGTAGTAACATTTTGGTTTGAGGCCATACCTGGCAGTGCTCAGGGGTTACTCCTGGCTCTGCACTCAGGAATTACTCCTGGTGATGCTCAGGGGACCATGTGGGATGCTGGGTTGGCAGCATGCAAAGCAAAAGCCCTACCAGCTACAGAAGTCAAAACATAGCACAAAAGTGCTAAGTAAGAGGAATGTAAGTAAGACTTTTTCTAGATCTCTACCCTGGAATCTTACTAAAATGAAGGACCCTTTACAGTTTAGCTTAACATTATAAGTGGGCTCTTCCCAAGGTAGCGTGAAGGCTGAGTCTGTGATAAACACACTGCATGAGCACACAAACATATCCCTCTTACACTGCTTATTAGAAAAGAGCAAGAATATTAGAAAATTCTTACCAGAAAGATCCACCACTGCCTCATGACTGGAAACAGCTCCTTTCTCAATAAATAGATCTCGAAAATATTCACTATTAGCTGACAAAACAGATTTATGGGCTTTGTATTCTTCTCCTTCAATTAACAAAGTAACATCACAGAACTGGTTGGAGAGTCTCTGTTCATTCAGCTGTTTTAAGACAGCCTGACAATGTTTTGGAGAAGATCTTTTCACAACTCCTTTGGTATCAACCTATCAGAGTTTGAAACCAAGAGTTTATTATATACCACTGTATTTCTACTAATAACAAAACTTAAAACACACCTTTCCCATTTAAAAGATGCCACTAATAATAAAATACTCTTATATTCTTTTTTCTTATTACTTATGTATTTAAATGAAAGGCTGTTGTAGGGGCTAAGGGCTGGAGCCCCTGCTATGCATGTAGAAGGCAAGGATTTGATCTCTGGCACCATGTGCTCCCTCGTGCAGAATAACCTATGAGTACCAATAGGTGGCCCAAAAACAAAATGAAAGAGATGCGAACTCACTCCTCTCTAGGTTTAGTCTACTTGACCCCAATGAAGACCTACATGCCATTTCTTGCCCCTTCTTTCTCCAAAATCATGTATGTTGAAACAAATGCAGGTAAAAACTAAAGACCTAGCAATCTAGTTCTGCTACATTACCCAGAGATTTTGTCCAGACATATATTGTCTACTTATACCAAAATACCATTGAAAAAGAAGAGAGGAGGGGCTGGAGCAACAGCACAGCGGGTAGGGCGTTTGCCTTGCACGCAGCCGACCCGGGTTCGATTCCCAGCATCCCATATGATCCCTTGAGTACCGCCAGGGGTAATTCCTGAGCACAGCGCCAGGAGTAACCCCCGTGCATTGCCGGGTGTGACCCAAAAAATGCAAAAAAGAAAAAGAAAAAGAAGAGAGGAAATGTGAGAATAAGAAATGAACAGGAGCATTCCTGATCAAAATTAGTTTTTGATTTTGTTGTGTTGTTCCTCGCACCCGGTGGTGCTTCAGAGTCTGTGGGGGATCAACAAATTTAGGCCTCCCTCATGTAAGAGCACGCATTTAGTCCACTGAGTTACCTCCACAGGTTCAACATTGGCATATTTTGCTGTATGTAACACAATAATTTGGCATAAACCCACTTCAATTCTTCTGTATTAGTGCCAAGCGTCATGCAGTTTCAGTGGTCTAAGAAAAAGTCCAGAGCTAGAGAGACAGCTCAATGGGTTGAGCATATAATTTGGACATGAGCATCCAGATTCCATCCCTGGTACAGCATGGTTCCTCAGCACAGTCTGGAACAACCCCAAAACCATTAAGCTAGGAGTAGACCCTGAGCAGTTTCAGGTGAAACCCTGAAACCAAAAACTAAAAAAAAAAAAAAGCAAGACTACAAATACTAATGCACTAATACAACATTCAAACGGAACCAAAAAAAGGTCACTCACAAATACAAGTTCATGTTTGGATACTGGCTTCTTTTTTGTAGATCTGGAGGCTGAACTTGGAGGTGAAGTAAAGTTGCTTAGGTCATCCTCCGATTCATTACTTTCTTCTCCAGATTCAAGGTCCAGTCCCAATTCTTCCAACATTTCTGAAGTATCTGATATTGGACGGGAGCGATCCAGTTTCTCCTGGCACTTGCTACACTGTTTAATGTAATCTTTTACTTGCTTCAATATGCCTATAATGAAAATAAAAATTAGTAAGTCAAATTTATCTCCAAGGAGATACAAGCCAAGCAGCTAAAATTCATAGACATTCCGGTCCCCGTGGCTGAAAACTCTGGGGAGCCCTTGGGAGGTGAGCGGCCAAGTACCTGCCCTGCTGAAATCTTGCCCCGGCAGCCGTGCCCAAACCTCATGCCGTACTGTGCCAAGGGCCCGACTCCATTGCTTCACTAATGGCCAAAACCACAGATCCTCAAGTCTCTGGACCATGGCTATGACACCTTCTAATTCCTCAATACTGACATTCCGGTAGGGGCACACCAAATTAAATGGGAAAGTCACAGAAGCCAACCAAACTCAACAAACAAAAACAATAATACAGAAAGCTCAACTAGCAATAAACAGCTTGGTGAATTCTTAGACAAGGGCTTAATCTTGTGATGAGATATAACAATTTTCACATAAAATTTGATTTTTGTATATTTATCGATTTTTATATTAGAGCTTTCTTATCTAGTCAATTTCAATTTAGAATTGTATTAACAGCTATGTCTTTTGTCTACATTTAAATTAAAAAATTAAAAGAAAAAATACCAGACTTATCTCCAAAGAAAAAAGAAACTTATTTTTATTTATTTTTTGCTTTTTGGGTCATACCTGGCAATGCACAGGGGTTACTTCTGGCTCTGCATTCAAGAATTACCCCTGGCAGCGCTCAGGGGGCTCTATGGGATGCTGGCAATCGAACCCGGGTCGGCAGCGTGCAAGGCAAACACTCTACCCACTGTGCTATCACTCCAGCCCCAGAAAAGAGAAATGTAAACCTACGCTTACTTTGGAAAATTGACCAGATTATAGTAATTTACACACTGAAGTATGTCTGAGTGTGTATGTTTGAGTATGTGTATGCAGACACACAGAAGGTGCACGAAGTATATGAACTTGGAGCTTTAAAATTTAAGATACCCCCTCCACCAATTAAGAGTATAGATTAGTGGACCAGAGCTATCTCAGACTCTGGAACTCATGCTTTGCAAACAGGAACACTGAGATCAATTCCCACTACCACATGGTGCCTGGAACACTTCCAGGACTGAAACCCCCGACCCCACAATAATAAGCCAAGAATAATCCTCGAGCAACAACCCCTCAAAAAAATATTACAAAGGACCCAAAGAACTGTTTTCCTGTGATCTGTTAGCTGTTCTGGAACCTCACCAAGAATGGCTATTTCATTTGGAAGAAACAACCCATATCTTCTCCCATTGGGAAAATCTCATGAATGACTTCTGGCTGGACTGGAGCAATAGCACAGCGGGTAGGGCATTTGCCTTGCATGCAGCCAACATGGCCGACCCAAGTTCGATTCCTCCGCCCCTCTCGGAGAGCCCGGCAAGCTACCGAGAGTATCTCACCCGCACGGCAGAGCCTGGCAAGCTGCCCGTGACGTATTTGATATGCCAAAAACACAGTAACAAGTCCCACAATGATACAGGGCCCCCTTGAGCAAATCGATGAACAACCGAGGACAGTGATACAGTGACTTCTGGCTAAAGGAACCAAATTAAAATTTTTTTAAGCACATCAAAAAAAAAATATTACAAATGGTATATTTTTCATTCCCATTTACTTATTTACTTTTATAATCATATAAAATTATATACTCTGACTTCCATATAAGTTACAACTCATTTATGCAGCAATAATGTGAAATTGCCTACATTCAAGTTCTGTTTTTGTTTTTCGAGTGTTAGGTTTTGGTGACACCCAGGGATGGTCAGGGGCTATTTCTGGCTCTATCTTCAGGACTATCTCATGGCCTGCATTAGTAAGTATCAAGAACAGAGATGGATATAAAGATATAAAATTAAACCATATTCCTCTTACTTTCAACCTTTATGTGTTATTCAACAATATTTCTTTAATTCTATTATACTGAATCTCTCTGTTGTATTGTCATTCAAAAATGTATGCATCTGAAATTAAATTCAGAAAACTGTTAAAAATTTGTTTTGCATTGTTTTTTGGGCCATGCCCAGTAGAGCTCAATGGGTTGCTAGGTATCAAACAGCACATCAGCTGCAAGCAAGGCAAGCAAGCACCGGACCGTACCATTTCTCCAACCCCCAACAGTATTACCATTTTAGAAGTTCTCAATGCCACTATAAAGAAATATTTCGGGGACTAAAGACAGAATAGGGGTTAAGGCACTTGCCTTGTATTCAGCTGACCCTGGTTCATCCCCAGCAGTGCAATATGCACCCCCCAGGCACAAGGCACGGCGTATGCGCTGAGCATCACCTACTGTGGCCCCAAAACAAAGCAAAACAAATTCTGGTGTTTTTTTTTTTAATTTGCCAAATATGTTTAGATTTCCTTTGGTTCACAACATAATTTAGGAAATAGTAGGCTATACAACTATCATTAAAAAGAAAATTACACAATATGGAGATTCCTCAAAAAAAGAACAGAATTCCCACATAACCCAGTCATTCTACTTATTGGCTTCTAATACTAAAAGACAAAAATTATCAAAAGGATATAATGCACACCTATGTTCACTGCAGCACTCAGTAATAGCCACAATGTGGAAACAACCCAAAAGTCTGACTATAGATTAATGGACCAAGAAGTTGTGGTGTATATTCACAATGGATACTACACAGCTGTAAAAAAAAAAAGGGGGGGAGATTAAATCATCAAATTTGCTGCAATGTGGATGAAATTGGTAATATTGTGTCAAATGAAGTCAAATACTCATCTGTGGAATAAAGAGACACAAAACAAGATAACAGAATCAAACAAACAATTCATATTGGAATACAAAACAAATTAATAAACTGGCATAAGTAAGGGAAGATGATCAGACTAGAGGTGATGCAGGGGCAGTGCTGGAGGGTAGTGGGCATGTTGGTGGTGGCTGAATGGAGTAGTTTTGTTTGATTATATTGTAAAAAATACTACTATTGTAATTTTCTAAACTACAATAAAAACTTAAAATTAAAGGTATTTACATTGTGTATAGATTTAGAAATTAAGATTATATTCTAGTTTCTAATAATAGTAAAGTTAGTAACAAGTCTGTATCACTAAGAGGAAGAGTGAGAGATTTCTAAATAATGATAGAAGGGAGTGGGAAGTTAACTCATAGGCCTGGAGCACAAGTGGGAGTCCTGCATTTAAAACTGGCACTGCATGGTGCCCTGAACACTGGGTCTTGTGCCAGGTATATCCCTCCCACAAACCCCCACCCCACCCGGAACTCATGGAAAGGCAGAATGGTCAGGGTATAGACCTCAGTGGCAGAATATGTTTTACATACATGAAGTCCTAAGCTCAATCCCTGGTACATGTGCACACATACACAAACAAAAGCAAGAAGACAGAGAAGGGACCACCAAGTAAAGGCTGCTAGGGGGGCCCACTTGGAATGAGAAATGTGGCCTGAAAGTAGACTATAGACCGAATATGATGGCCACTTAATACCTCTATTGCAAACCACAACACCCAAAAGGAGAGAGCAAAATGGAATGCCCTGCCAGAGGCGGGGTGAGGGGGATGGGGTGGTGGTGGTGGGAGGGATGTTGGGACTATTGGTGGTAAAAATGGGCACTGGTGGAGGGATGGGTACTCGATTATCATATGACTGAAACACAAGCACGAAAGTTTCTTTTTTGCTTTTTGGGTCACACCCAGAGATGCACAGGAGTTACTCTTGGTTCAAGCACTCAGGAATTACTCTTGGCGGTGCTCGGGGGACCATATGGGATGCTGGGAGTTGAACCTAGGTTGGCTATGGCTACGTGCAAGGCAAGCGCCCTACCCACTGTGCTATCTCTGCAGCCCCCAAGCATGAAAGTTTCTAAGTCTGTAACTGTACCTCATGGTGATTCACTAATAAATTAAAAAAAAAAAGCCGGAAGATAAACATTTCTAAAGACAAACAATGGTGACTGCACACAAAGTCAATGTACTTAGGGCCAGAGAGGTAGCTTAAAAGGATGAGCACATACAGAAAATGCAGAAAATACAGGGATGCTTTTCTGTATGCATCCCTGTTCAATTGTTGTTGGATTACACTGGTTGTCCTTGCTCCTCTTCACGGAGCTTAGGTTTACTGAGACGCTCCCACAACAGTGCCCGAGGCACACCCAGTTCCATCGAGCACTAATACTCCTATATTGCTTTTCTCTTTTCCTTATATCTTTTGCTTGGCTTAGCAATGTCCTTTTTGTATAGACACAAGAAGACAGTGGATGCTATGCTTTGCAACATGGGAGTTAGTTGACTCAAATATTTCCTCCTGAGCATCCATCATATTTACCTGATTTAAGCCTCAGTTGCCCTCACTTTCTAACACCCTCAAAAGGAGGATCCTGAGAAGGGACTGGATAGACCTGGGGCAAGTTGTTAGCTACGCTGGCATCGAAAGAGAACAAGCTAAGCACCATAAGCATAATAAGAGCATGGTTATGGGCCAAACTCTGTCATGACCCCAAAAAGAAGTAACTGAATTAAGGACCCTGCTGGGGTTAAGAAAGACTAACTTGAGGGTCGTAGTCTAGGATATATAGCGAGATATCCCCAGGAAGAGCCAACCTTTAAACTTAAAATAACTAGAAATATTAGAAGTAAATTTACATGATTGCTTAAATGGATTACTAGCTGAGGAAAGGATAAAGCAATACACCCTAGGTGGAAACCCATCCTTTAGCAGATCTCCTAGTAATCTGGAGTGTTTGAACCCTCAGATGAGATTTTGTCCTTGAGTTAATCTCCTAGAACTTCCCCTGAAGGAGTGGCTTTTACCTCTATTGTTTTTTTTGTTTTGTTTTGTTTTTAACTTTTTGGGTCACACTCAGTGATGCTCAAGGGTTATTCCTGGCTCTGCACTCAGGAATCACCACTCCTGGTGGTGCTCGGGGGACCAAATGGGATGCTGGGAATCGAACCGGGTAGGCTACGTGCACCACATGCAAGGCAAGCGCCCTACCCTCTGTACTATTGCACCAGC